TAATACATCTCTCTGTAATTGACAGACTACACCAAAACCAAAAAACCCAAAACCTAGAGAAATATCAAAGGAGTATCACATTTAACACTTTTGATCTCACACAAGAGAACACTCTATACAACCAATGGAGAACACACACCTTCTTTGAGCACATGTGAAATAGTTTTGGAAATGAACTACATGCTAAGTCATAAAGCTAGTCTCCATAAGCTTCAAAGACCACATTTTCTGACTACAATGCAATCAAGTTAGAAAACAATAACAAAAATATAAAAACTCCTTATGTGTGAAAATCTAAAACTTTTCTAGAAACTATAAAAATCTACATTACACATCAATATGACTACATCTAAAATAATCGAAAGAAATCACAGAAAACTATATAAAAATGGTTCATTTATTTAAAGAACATATTCACTAGTGACAAAAGTATAAGGAAAGACAATGGAATGATTAACAGAAAATTTACTCTAGTGGTTATCTCTGGGTGGTGAGGGACTGTGTGGGCTGGATGGAGAGAAGATATACTATGGCACTATTAATGTTTCTTGAGCTGAAACTAGAGATCTGGGTGATTATTCAAATTTTTAAAAACTATATATGAGCCTTCTACACTTTTAGATAACAGAATTACAATAAAATTATGGAAAAAATGCAGGGAAGAGGAAAAAGAATTAGGTATAACTGTTAAAATGGAGCTAAAGAGTGACAGGGGTGAACAAGTTGCCACCCACATGCATGATTTCTCTCCAGATTATCTAATGCCACTGCTTGCCTCCTCCATCCCAACTAGTAAAAGTAAAATCTATCCTATTCTGTGATACTTTTAAGAAAGGAGGATTCTCTCACATCCAAGGTCTCCCTTACATCATTCCAAAGATTTACTCCATGGTCTTCTCTCTCTTTCCTCATATAGGTTATACTCCCTACATCGTCCACATTAAATCAATTTTGTAAACATTTGTCCTTATCTTTCTACAACAGGTAAGATATGGTATCAAGAAACAGAGGGTGAGACACTGTTTTACCTGCATGTCACTTTTGGCAGCTTTCACAGCATCAAAGAGATCACTGGGTGGTAGCTCTGAGTCTTTCTGGCCATGACCATGTACCATTTGGGACCCCTTCTTTGGATGTTTTGCTACCTAGTAAGTATAAAGAGATCAGAAATATTTTTAAAACGTCGAAGTGATATTAACAGTCTCATCACTGTCATACAAGTAGGCTTAAGCTGCCAATTTCACAGCAGAATTTGAGTTACTGAGATCTAAAATAACTGATATTTACACTGTGAACTTTATTATTTCTTACTTTTTCTCCTTTTAAAAAGTCCCTTAAGCCCATTCTTTTTCCTCTATTCTTAATACCCTTCTTTTATTCTTTTCTCTTCAAAATTTGCCTTCCTCCTACTTGTCCCTTAACACTCTAAATTTTGCCCTTTCATCAAACATATTACCTGAGCCTTTTCTATATTTTCATTTTGTTTGGGTTTTGGGGTTTTTTGTTTTTGCTGCTTCCCAGACTAGGTTCAAAAGCAAAACGAAACTGATTGACTCACTGGGGTTGTTTTGAGTGGTCGTTTTGCTGCTCTCTTCTTCACGCTGTGTCTCAGGCTATCTTCAAAGTCACTGCCTTCATCAGCTGATAAAGAATCACTATCCCTATGAGAGAGTGTGGTTCTCCTTAGATACACAACCCCAGTCCCTCCATATAAAATAGCAAATAAATTATAATTTCTTTTTCTGTAACTGTAACCCCTTCTCCGTGAGAAAAATATATTCAGATTTTTTTTTTTAAAGAAGAGGTTTACTTTAACAGGGAGTAGAGACAGAATCTTAAAGGAAAACTTTCACTTGAAGAAAGCAGTAAAGATGTAAAATGAAAACTGGAGTGGGTAAAGGACAACCCCTTCCTAATATTCTCTCTGAATAAGAAAATCAAATGAGGGTGCCTGGGTGGCTCAGTCGTTAAGCATCTGCCTTCAGCTCAGGTCATGATCTCAGGGTCCTGGGATCGAGTCCCACATCGGGCTCCCTGCTCCGCGGGAAGCCTGCTTCTCCTTCTCCCACTCACCCTGCTTGTGTTCCCTCTCTCGTTCTCTCTCTGTTGAAAAATAAATAAAATCTTTTAAAAAAAGAAAATAAAAATGATATTCACGGGGCACCTGGGTGGCTCAGTCGTTAAGCGTCTGCCTTCGGCTCAGGTCATGATCCCAGGGTCCTGGGATGGAGCCCCGCATCGGGCTCCCTGCTCTGCGGGAAGCCTGCTTCTCCCTCTCCCAACCCCCCTGCTTGTGTTCCCTCTCTCGCTGTGTCTCTGTCAAATAAATAAATAAAATCTTTAAAAAAAAAAATATTCACTTAAGCAGGGAGAGGGATCACTGCTGTGGAGAAAAATGAGCGTGGCTTGGGAAGTCACACATTACTTATACATAAACTGGAAATTAATATATGCCTAGAGTTAAATTTCACCCCTTGAAACAAGTTCACAAGTGTTATCAATCAGAGTTAAGTTTATAACATAGATAAAATCTGGTCCCAAACAGTAGCACTGAGAGAAAGGTGTCAGAGGAAGCCAATTAAAAAATAACCAGGAGAGGGGTGCCTGGGTGGCTCAGCTGGTTGAGCAGCTGCCTTCGGCTCAGGTCGTCCATCCCAGGGCCCTGGGATCAAGCCCCATGTCGGACTTTGTGCTCAGCGGGGAGCCTGCTTCTCACTCTCCCTCTGCCTGCCTGTCTGCTTACTTGTGATCTCTCTCTGTCAAATAAATGAAATCTTAAAAAAAAAAAAAAAAAAGTTAAAAAAAAATAACCAGGAGAAAAATCAGATCTTGTATGAGGTTATTTTTTTCCTGGAAAAATAAAAAAAGATATTATTATAACCTTCACAAAGTAAGCTCATAGATAAGGATAGACCAATCTGTTTATAAAATCCCTAAATAAAGGAACATCACACACCAACTAACAAGTATATACCATTTGTTAGGAAACAAAGAACTCTTTACTTCTTCCCCCATCTCCCCACTCCCGACAGAGATTATACATGCTGAATATACAAATGTATTCAAGAAAGGTTTGGATGAGCTGGATGATGGATTTAGAAGAAGATGTATTATTTTTGGTGCCTACAACATGCAGGGCAGGAAAGAGAAAAACAAACCCAAAACCAGCCAGCAGAGCTGGAAAGGGTCACTGTTCTGAACCAGTAAGCTTATGTTTTCACAGAGTCACAGGCAGACAGAGGGGAAAGCTACCCGCACTGCTGGAGAAAGCCAGACAACGCAACAAGTTCTCACCAACTCCACTCACCCCTGTGAAGCCTGGTCCGAGTCCCTTTCACCATAGGGCACACTGACCGACGAACTAGAGGATGCAGACATGCCCCTCTGTACACCACCTGCTGCTCTCTGCAGCGGGGAGGACACACTGCTTGGGGAGGAGGAGGACCGCAGAGTAGGCATGCTGGTCCAGCTGCGGAAGAAAAAGAGGAAAAGGCCTCTACCCACACATCTCCGGCCTCAGCTCCAACCATGCCCTTTCTTTACAAGGGGACTGCTCTGCAACTCGGGTCGGGGTGTGGACGCCCCCCCCCCCAAAAAAGGACAAGAGTCGTGCCCTAAGACACCACGGCCCCATGGATGTGGGTTGGGAATCGCTCTCCAGGGCCACAGCAAAACGCACCCCAGAGCCGCTTAAAGCAGGTCCTTCCCTGCAAGCGTCCAAGCGTCGATTGCATGGTGCAAGGGGACCAGCTCGCTCAGGTTACAAATAAAAACCCTCAAAACAAAAAAGGACCCACTCCTTCATTTTCAGGCTGGAGCCTGATTCCACATTGAAGAGAATGGGAAGCGCTTAATGGGGCCGCAGCCGCCATTAGAACAGGGCCAGAAACGCTGAAGAAGTAAAGACAAATTCGCGTTCTTCATTTTTCCAGAAGATGGTATCTCTGACAAAATTCTGGGGTAAGTGGGCTGAAGGGCTTCCTAACCGTTGAAAAGAGTGATTATCAGTCTCTTGGGGGCTGGGGCTTGGGGTTCCTGGCCTTTCTGGAGAAAACCACTGAGGCATGGAGGAGGGCGGTTCCTCTCTCAGGGCTGGGAGTGCGGGGAGAGGGCGTATTCTTGGGTCCAAGAGGAGCCTCACTGTCTGAAACCGGAACAGCGACGTCTGGTTGGGCAGGGATGAGGAAAGATCACTGCCTCGGGTCCCTCGGGGTTCTGCAGTCACCCCAACTCCAGGACAGGCGCCGGCTGCTTCTCTTGCGGTGGTGGAAGAATCCAGAAAAACGCGGGAAGGCACGAGGCACGTTGTGCGCAGGCGCGAGCTCAACGGCCCGTCCCGCTGCTAGTAATTGTCGCGAGGCTTGGGCGTGCGCGAGCTCGTGCTCACCACGTTCCAGTCACGCTGCTCGGGCAGCCTCGTGCGGGCACAAGCTTTCCGGCGTGCCGCCCCTTCACGTGGGCTCGGGCGCGCGGACAGCCTACTTTAGCCCTTCTCCACCCAGGTCCCGCCCCCTCTGCCCCCAATTTCTCCCTCCATTGGCCGGGCTTCGCACTAGACTAGTTGTAGCCCCTTCACTCTGGCTTCTCAACTGCCATAGGCTAGGTTCCACCCAGGCCCCGCCTTTCGAATCGGATAGCCACGCCCCCAAGAAAGGCTACGCCCCTCCCCCACCAGCCTCCTCAGTTCCGCCGAGTCCCGCCCCCCTGCCGAGCTTCCCCACTACATTGGCTTAATTTCTCCCTAGGCCCCGCCCCTGAGGCCCGCTACTTACCATCATTGGCGGGGCCCCGCCTCGGGCCCCGCCCCCTGTCCGGCTCCCGGCTCCCATTGTCTCCGCAGATGCCGCTTGGTCCAGCTATCGTGCTCGGTGTTCAGTTTTCCGAGGTCGCGCTCTTTCTCTGCCCCGCGGAGAGGTCCCGCGGCAGAGAACCGGCTTCCCGAGTTCGGGCCGTTCTTTCCTTCTTAGGACACACTTTGCTGAACCAGGGCGGCAGCAGCTATGTCCGCTCTGCGATCTCTTCTGCTTCTGCTGCTGTCTCTGTGTCCCGGTCCTGGTCCTGGACCCGGGAGCGAGGCAAAGGTCACCCGGAGTTGCGTTGAGACCCGGCAGGTGCTGGGGGCCCGGGGATATAGCTTAAGCCTACTCCCTCCCGCCCTGATCTCAGGTGAGGAGAAAGAGGAAGACTAGAGAATTGGGGGCGAGGGAGGGGGGCGGGGGCGGCTCCTCCCCAGTCCACAATAACTCTCCTCCCTTTCAGAATGACCGTTAAATAATTTTTTCATGCCATAGCCATGCCAATAATATCTCTTCTCCTGAACTTACTTACCAGGATCACAATAAGCCTCCTGTTCACATAATAGGTTTCTTACTCCACCCCCACCCTAGGAATCCTGTTCTAGTAATTAGCACCCCCTCTGTATTTAATTCTTCACAGCTCAATTTGTTCCCATCGCTATTTCTAAGAGCCCCTTCAATGATAACACTTTATTGCTTACCTAGTAACCCCACCCCTCCAAACCCCATTCTTCCCATAGATGCTGTCCTGTAAGTCCTTAGAGGCCTGGAGTGTGGGATGTTGGGGAGGGTCACCTAAGGACACTGATCACTGATTTGGCTCATTACTATTTGATCCCTTAACTAATGCCAGTGGACTCGAGATGGGTGAGGGTACAATAAGGAGGGGATAGGGTCAGGTGGGGATGAGGGAGAGACAATAGAAAAGAGAGCAGACAGGTAGAAAGAAAGGATAGCCCCCTAGACAGACGGAAAAAGGAAAGAATTTCATGATAGCATTCTCCCTCCTTCCATTCTTCTGTGTCTCCTCTGTCCAGGTGAGCACCTCCGGATCTGTCCTCAGGAATACACCTGCTGTTCCAGTGAGATAGAGCAGAGGCTGACTTGGGAGACTGAGACCACCTTCCGAGGCCTGGTGGAGGAGAGCAGCTCATTCCTGGTTCACACACTGGCTTCCTGGCACAGAAAATTTGATGGTGAGGACTGGGGTCCCCAAACCTGGCCTCACACCTCCTCTCTGTGCTCATGACCCCAGCAAACATCCTGCCTTAGCCCCCTTCCACCACCACCCCCAGATTCTCTCCAAGGTCGCCCCCCCCCCCCCAGTATTCTCAGGTCTCTAAGAGTTCCTGAGGCTCTAACTCACTTTTCTCTTGTCCCTCCATCCCCATCTCTTCCTGCCTCCCCCCTTTCAATTTTCCATTCTTCTCTGAACTCACTCCACCTCACACTCCTTTCTCCACATTTGCCACAGACCTTTTTCGGGAGATACTCTTGTCATCTGAGCGCTCTTTGGCCCTGCTCTTCCACCACTCCTTCGGCCGCCTGTATTCCCAGCACGCCCCTGTATTCAGTGGCCTGTTCTCTCGGCTGCGGGACTACTATGAGAGGTCCGGTGAGGGGTTAGATGACGCTTTGGTGGATTTCTGGGCACAGCTCCTGGAGAGATTGTTCCCCCTGCTGCATCCACAGTACACCTTCTCCCCCGACTACCTGTTTTGCCTCACTCGCCTCGCCTCCTCTGCTGATGACTCTCTGAAGCCTTTCGGGGATGCACCCCACCGCCTCCACCTGCAGGTGAGAGGCCCCAAAGCCTGAGCTTCAGCCACCTCTGACCTGGTGACCTCTGAGCTGTGCACCACTCACCCTAACTCCCCTCTCATGCCCCAGTCACCCCTGACCTGGTGATCTCCCCAATCCTGCATGGCAGCCATCTCTGACCTGGTGACCCCTATCTTGAGCCCCAGTCCCCTCTGCCTGACCCCATGCTCTTTGGCCTCCTTTAATTGGGTACCCCCTCATTCTCATTCTGCACCCTAGTTTCATACAAATTCCTGACCCACTCACCTGCTCTTGGCCCCAGACACCTTTCTGCTAATTGCTCCCTAATCCTAATATCTTGACTTCCTGTGGTTCAACTAACCATGAATTAGGCACTTAATAGTTGAGACGGACTTTCATTTACAGTATCTCATTTAACTGTTATAGTAACTTTTTGAGATAGATAGTGGTATCCCTATTTTACAGATAAGAAAACTGAGCCTCCCAGAAGTTAGGGTTTCACAGCCAGTAAGTGGTAGAGGTGTATCTTACATCCAGGTCTTCTGGCTTTAAGTTCAGTGTTTGTTCTGATATGCCATCCTTCTGTCGCCAAGCCCTATAAAACACAAACTCTCCATTTCTTCCCAAACCCAGCTCCCCTTTATCCTTCTAGACTATAACTCCTTTGAATATAGTTCAAGGAATTATATTCCTTGAACCTGCTTCCCTGTACCACCTGACACTCCTAACAACCCCACCATAACTCCACACACCTAACCCCCACTGCTTGTGCCCTTGGTGCAGTCTCTTGTCTCCAGTCTTGACTGAACCATGACTGACCCTATGGTTTCTCTCACCTTCTTTCCCCTACCCCAGATAACCCGGGCCCTGGTGGCTGCCCGGGCCTTTATCCAGGGCCTGGAGACCGGAAGAGATGTGGTCAGCGAAACACTTAAGGTTAGAGGGGGCCTGAGTGTGGGCAGGGCCCAGGGAGGGAGAGGCAGAAGTAAGAAAGGCCCTATGAGGAAGAGTCAGGTGCCAGCTGGAGAGGTCCAGGGCCTTCCCATATCAGCCCTGAGGCCCCAGTATCCAGGGTAAAGCAGGAAGGAGGGGGGCAGGAGTGAAATCTCCCTTGTGTCATGATCCATGACCTCCTCCCATTATCTGACCCTCTTTTGCTCTCTGATGCCCCTTGACCCCTGCAGCCTCTGGTGGTCTGCTCATCTCCATAGCAGCCTGAGATTGAAGTACTGCCTCCACCATCCCCCCCCCCCCCCGCCCGCCATTTCCCACAGGACCCCTCCATGGCTCCCCCTTCCCTGCTTCTGAAGGCCAGATTCCTGCCTTGGCCTTCAAAGCCCTCTCTTCACCACCCATTTTCTCCCTGACCTCCCAGCTTTACCTCCTGCATCCGCAGTCTCTTCACTTCTTAACCACGATGGCCTCTCTCTTCTTGAAACTTTTCTCAGACCGCTCTCCCCACTGCCTCTCTAATTCCATCACCAACCCCCCCCCCAAGAAGGAGGTATCTGTAGCCTGGCCCTTGGGAAACTTCCTTATCAGATCTGTGGCAGTCTTCAGGTCTTACCTGATGCCACATGGGGTCACTAACCCTAGACATTCACATCCAGCTCTCCACAGAGAGCCTGGGGAAGGTGAGGTGGAGTATTTGATTTCTCTCTGTCCAGCACCAAGCTTGGCTGAGTGCCGCCGCTGTGTTTGTGAATGACAAGTCCTGCTGTCTGCCCCCAGGTGCCCCTGTCTGAAGGCTGCAGGCGGGCTGTGATGCGTCTGACTGGCTGCCCCCTTTGTCGGGGCATCCCCTCGCTGCCACCCTGCCGGGGCTTCTGCCTCAATGTGGCCAATGGCTGTCTCCGCAGCCACGGACTGGATCCTGACTGGGGGGCCTATCTGGGTGAGGGGATTCAGGAGGGCCTGGGAGGGCTGTTGGTGTTTGGGATGCCTTGGGGTGGACTGGGGAGGGAGTTTTAAACCTTATGGAGTTGAGAGACTATTCTCATGTGAGTTTCTCCTATCCAACACCTTGTTGCTTCCCTCCAAGACCCAGGTCAGGATTTGTGGGAGCATCACAGTCCCTCATGACACCCTTTCTCTTTCTTCCCCTCCTTCAAGATGGTCTCCTGTTCCTGGCTAAGAAGCTCCAGGGCCCTTTTTCTTTTGAGCTGGCAGCTCAGTCCATTGGGGTGAGGATCTCAGAAGCTTTGATGTATCTGCAGGAAAACAGTGTGGCAGTGTCAGCCCAGGTACAGGGGCCATGAGAAGGGTGGGAGTGTCAGCCTGAGGAGGGGGAAAGACAGTGCAGGGAGGGTGTTGGGGTACAGGAGAGAGATGAGTGGAGCTGAGGGTCTGGAGTGGTGGGACAGTGTGGGGTGTCAGGGAGACTGGGGTGTTGGAGTGGGGACACTGTGTGGTTCTCATCGCAGGATGACTAGGGGGATCCTCTTCCTTGTGCCTTAGGTGTTTCAGCAATGTGGGAACCCCCAACGGGTACAAGGCCGCACCCGCCGAGCCCCAGCCCCCCGGGAAGAGGTGGGACGCCTCTGGACCTCGACAGGAGCGGTGGGGGCAGCAGGGGTGCCAGGGACGGAGGAGAGGCCCACGACGCCTGGGAGCACCAGCCTGAACCGCCTGGTGAGTGGGGGGCAGAGAGGGGGCGGCAGCGGGGGTGGGGGGGGAGGCGGAGGCGGGTAGTGGGGGGCGCGTGCTCCAGCCCAGCCGCGCTCTCTGCTCGCCCAGGTGTGGGAGCTCCGCGAGCGGCTGGGCCGGGTGAGGGGCTTCTGGGCCGGGCTGCCTCTGGCGGTGTGCGGGGACCCCCGCATGGCAGCAGACATCTCGAAGGAGGCGGCGCCCTGCTGGACCGGAGCTGGGCGGGGCCGGTGAGACCGGGCGGCGGCGGGCGGGGCGGGCACGGGGCGGGCGGGGCGGGGCCGGGCGGGAGCCTTCGGGGCTGCTCTGCCCGCAGGTACTTGTCGCCCGTGGTCGGGGTCTCCCCGTCCGAGCAGCTCGACAACCCAGAGCTGGACAAGGAAGACTCGAGCACCGACCTCCAGACGCGGAGGCGGCGGCTGCAGCTCCGGGCAGCGACGACCAGGATGAGGGTGGCCGCGCTGGGACGCGACCTGGAACTGGACGACTGGGGTGAGAACCCCGGGCGCCCCGAGCGCTTCGCCCCTCCCGGCTTTCTGCGATCCGACCCGGCCCCGCCCACTGCCTTCTGAGCCCCTCCCCTCGCATCTTTACTCATTCATTACTTTCCTCCTTTTTTGAACACGCCTTTACTGAAAGCTTACCTCAAAGTTGAGTGGAAGAAGACCCGTGGCAGGGTCTCCATCCTTGAGTTCACGGCCCAGTGGGAAGACACCAAAACACTCTTACAGAACAGTGGGAAGCCTCTTAGATCGAGCAAAAGGGTGTGGGTTGTTGGGGAGGGCTTGCAACCTGGGGGAGGTGGGGAAGCTGGGTGGGGGGCCATTGGGCTGGCTCCCAGGATAGAGTTTGCCGGAGAAGCAAGGCACAGACAGACGTTTGTTTTTTCTCATCATCTGTTTGTCCGTCTCTGTCTCGCATTGTCTCTCCTTCAACACCCCTCTTTCTGTCTGCTTGCTGCTTCTGTGTGCGTCTGTTTTGTCTTTTCCTGTGTATCCTCTCTCCCCATCTCTCTCTCTGTTCTGTCTCTGTCTCATTGTCTCTTTTCTTCTCTCATTCCTACATCTGTCTGACCTCTCCCCTCGCCTTCCTGTCACTCATTTTCTCCCTCTTCCCAATCTTCATCTATCCACCTGTGTCTCTCTCCCATCTCTTCTGTTTTTATTTTTTAAAGATATTTATTTATTTATTTGAGAGAGTGAGAGAGAGAGCAGAATGAGCGAGAGCACAGTGGGAGGGGGGAGAGGCAGAGGGAGAGGGAGAATCAGGCTCCCCGCTGAGGAGGGAGCCGATGCGGGGCTCGATGCGGGGCTCGATGTGGGGCTCGATGCGGGGCTCCATCCCAGGACCCTGAGCCGAAGGCAGACACTTAACCACCTGAGCCACCCACAGGCCCCATCTCCTTTCTGTTTTGAATCTTAAAGTCTCTTGTCTCTCTCCCCGCTCCCCCTCTCACTGTGTCTGTCTCCCACTGCCTCTCTTTCTCAACCCTGTCTCTGATCCTTTCCTTCCTGCAGATGAAGACGCCAGTGGTTCTGGAGAGGGACAGCACCATGCAGATGACTGGATGGCTGGGGCAGCAGCTGTGGCCCCCCCAGCCAGGCTGCCTCGCCCTCCTCGAAGGGATGTTAGTGGGGGCAAGGGAGGAGGTGTCCTTGTCCGCCACAACCAGGGCAGGAGCAGGACTGGGGGGACATCTGTTGGTTTTCACACCCAACCCATCCTCATTCTCTTCCTCTCAGCCCTGGCCCTGATTGGACCAAGATAACAGGGGAGGGGTGCCCTAGCATCAGAAGGGTTCATGGCCCTTCCCCTCCTCCCCCCTGCCCTTCAGCTGGGTCTGGGGAGGAGTTGAAGGGGGATGCAGAGAGGTAGAGAAAGGGACTTTTTGGGTGAATGGCTGGGGCCCCAAATCCAGGAGATTAACATTGGTGGGTTGGGGGTGGGTGGGTGGGTGTTCACAATATTTATTTTTTCATTTACAATCTGGGGAGGAGGGAGCTGGGGGTATTTATTTAGGAAGGAGGTGTACTCACCAACCAAGCCTCTACGTTGGGCCAGTTGTCAGCCCCAACAAGGAAAAAGGGAGGAGTTTTAGAGTTGCCATTGGGGGTGGGGTTTGAAAGAAGCTGGAAGTGGGGAGGGGTGGGGCACCTGGGCTCAAAGGGACAAAGCTGGGTGCCGATAGGGTGCAGGGCAGGGGACTAGGGTATATGAATAAGGTCAAGATCTGTGGGCCTGGTTTCTCTGGAGTTTTCTCAGTATCAACTTCTTAAACTAAAATACCAAAAAGAAAAAAAAGAGCTCATCTCATGATCTCTGTCATCCACATCCTTCACAAGCTTCCACACTTCATGCTTCAGTGTTGGATTCAGTGTTTATTCTACAAATAAACAGCTAACGTATTGAACCCTGTGTGTGACTCTGGACTTGTAGCATCCTTCCCTGAGCCCAGGCTCCTGGCAGAGGCTTCTAACCTCTCTTGGAACCTGCCCCCTGTCATTCTGTTTGGTCAAGTTGTCTACCCTCTGGGTCTGAGCCCCTTCATCTGTATAATGGGGAGAATTGTGGGGACCGGCAAAATTCTTCCTGAACCTGAGGCACCTTTAATATTACCACACCGCTGGCCCCTGCCTTCAGGGTGGGGACCCCTGTTCTCTGTGTGTCAGCTGGGGGCTACCTTGTCAGGTCCTTGACAATGTCTGCTTTCAACTTGTCTGTTATTTTCTCTTTCCTTCTTTCTGTTGCCTGAATGAGTCTTTTGTTTGGCAGAAAGCTAAGAGGAAAAGGTGTAATTGATTCCTAAGTGCGAAAGGAGGGTAGAAGTGCTGTGTTCCAAGGGCGGGCTGGGTGCCCTGACGAAGGAAAGATGCCGGGAGTGAGAGACCCAGAGACGCGATTAAAGCCCAAGCAGCTGCAGGGACTGGCGGGACAAAGGGAGGGAGGGGGAGGAGCCTGGGCGCGGAGCAAGTTTATGGGGAAAGTTGAGCACTGCGCGGAGCCGGGCGGTGGCTGGGGCGGGCGGGAGGGCCAGACCCCGATTTCCCTGCTGCTCCTCAGGTGGCCTGGTGAGTGGGCAAGTGAAGCCAAGGCCGCGGCCGGTGGAGGGACTCTCGAATTTATGGGAGGAGACTTGGGGGGTTCATAGAACCCCGGAGGGGGCCAACAAAGGGCTGGCCACAGACTGAGCAATCACCAAAGCTGGAGGGGCCAGAGGGCTGGAATGGGGCTAATGGGAGGAGACAGAGATGGATGAAAAAGGACTAGAAGTCTGGACACAGGAGGGAGTCCGGTGCAGGGCTGGATCCTGGGGGCTGTGTTGGGGGAGGGATTTGAGGGGTGATGCCAGAGGGGGCGGGTCTCTAGGTAGCAAGTGTGAGTTCTCCTTGCCTGGGGTCATTCCTGGCTTGTCCCAGAAAGGGGCTGTCGGGGCTTTTTGGAGGGGCTGTGGCCCATGGTTGCGGCTGTGATCTGAAGGGGTGAGTCCAGACTCCCAGTTGATTAGGAACCTGGGGCCTGGGAAGGAACTCAGAAGCTCCATGTTTGTATCTTTCGGTATCTTTACGTCGCAGAGGTTTTTTTTCTCTCTCTCCAGCTCCACCCTCTCAATCTCCTCTGGGTGCAGAGGGAGTTGGAAAGCTGGCACGGGGGAGTAGGGGGTGTCCAGGGAGCTGAGCCTCATCAGCAACCCCACGTCTCCCCCAGCTCTTCACACACTGGGGTCTGCCCTGTGCTGAGAGCACTTCGGAAGGGGCGAGAGATGCCTGAGTTTTGACTCGTACTCATGACAAAGTCGTTCCTGTAGTTGACCTCCCTGGGTTCAGTAGCCTGTGCCCTGTCTGACTCCCATTCCCTCCTTATGGATGCCCCTTGTGGCCTCAGAATGGGGCTCTTCATCCCTATCTGTCACAGGCAGAGGAGCTCATGAGGAAGCTAAGGAAGCCAGGGGCCGGCCGATGTCCACCTCAGTGGCACATGAGCGGATGGGTCCTTCTACAGGGTCTTGCCTTTCTCCCCTCCCCTTCTAAACCCCTGAGGCTCAGGTAGAAACTGCAGGTGGGGGCTGGGGAAGCTGACAGGAGTACTTGTGGACCACCAGGAAGATCTGGGTATAGAGAGCACATGCTCCCACCCCCACCCCCCACAGGCTTCCACTCCTGGAATGAGCTGCAGCAGCAGGAGAGAAGGCTCTACCCTCTCCTTAGACTCCCCTCCTTCCCCCCTCATTTCCCTTCTAGACGCTGACAGAGGCAAAAATCTGCTAACTCAGGGGGCAGACTCAACCAGGGCTGCGAGCAGGCCTGGGGGATGACCCCCCGATCTCAAACCAGCGCCTTCCACGGCTGCACGGCTGTCTCAAGCTGTCTCTGCCTCTGTGCCTGGCCCTTGCCCTGTCCCTCGCTAGCATCACCCTTACCTGTGCCACATGGGCCCTCTGTCTCCTACCAGGACCATGCGCCTCTGGGGGCCTCGGAGCCTGGGGGTGGCTCTGGGAGTCTTCATGACCATCGGATTTGCCCTCCAGCTCTGGGGGGGGCCCTTCCACAGAAGGTGAGTTCCCATCTTGTCCCAATGCCTTATAGATGCCCCCCATTTGCTCCACCCCATACCACCTAGGTCTGTGACTCTTGGGGACTCTGAGGAGGTTCCATGTCCTCTGTCCTTGCTCCACAAGATGCCCGCCCACCTGCTGGTGAGGGACAGGAAAATTGCCTTCCCATCTCTCCCCAGGCTACCGGGCCTGCAGCTCCGACAGCCCTTGGCCCCATCCTCGGGATCGGCTGTTTCATCCTGCCTGCCCCGGCAGCGACTTGTGTTCCTGAAGACGCATAAATCTGGGAGCAGCTCTGTGCTGAACCTGCTTCATCGCTACGGGGACCGACACGGGCTGCGCTTTGCCCTCCCTGCCCGCTACCAGTTCGGCTACCCAAGGCTTTTCCAGGCCTCTCAGGTCAAAGGCTACCGCACTCAGGGTAGAGGTACCAAGCCCCCCTTCCACATCCTCTGTCATCACATGAGGTTCAACCTGAAAGAGGTGAGGGGTGTAAGAGGGGATGGGTGGGATTGGAGAGACGTGGGCTTGGGCTTGTGGCCAAGACCACCAGGGGAGGAGGCCCCAGGCCTGGGGGTTCCCAGGTACCCCTTCACCCAAAAATTGGGCATGGGAGCCACAGAGATTCCTGTTCTCCTCTCCTCAGCTGTCCCTTGCCTAGTAGTTTCTGGGAGCCAAAGTCCTGCCTTCTCCCATCTAGAGCTTTCCAGTCTCTTTCCTTGACCAATTTACCCCACTGATATCAGTGCCCTGACAACTCTGATCCCCCAGACTCTCACTCTTCTTGGCCCCTTCTACTGACATTACCAGGGCCCTTGCTCAGCCACTGCCTTCTGACCATCCTCCTCTGCCAGATACGGAGAATCAGCTACATGCCAAGCCCTAGCCTGGTCCTGACCCCCTCCTCCCCGGTTCTAAAGGGGAAGATGTGTGCATGCACTCACGTACTCATCCATACACACCCAGGAACCTGAGAGCTCTTGGGCAAACAAAATCAATGTGCAAATGAAAATATACAGGGAAGGAACTTTTACTGAATACTTACTGTCTGCTGGGTACTAAGCTTACCATCACCTTGCCAGAAAGGCATTATAAATGTCTCCATTACACAGATGAGGTCAGGTTTCAGAGAGGCTAAGTGACTGGCCTCCTTAACAGAAAGCAGCAGAGCTAGGATTTGAACTCAGGTCCATCTGCTCCCAAGTCAAAGGGCCTTCCCTGGCATGTGTGCATGTGTATGTGTGTTTATATTTGGAACTGTGAGGAGAATATTCACCAAAAGAAGCAGGGCTTTCTGGTGAAGTGGCTTTTAAGGAAAGGGTGGACACAACTTTGTAGTAAGAAGAATATCAGGTATTTTAGAGGGAGCAGAATATCAGCAAAGGTGTGGTGGTCCTGGTGGTGGTGGTGGTCCTAGTGTGTGTCTGTGTGTGTATGTGTGTGTGTCCTATTAAGCTGGAGCTGGAGAAAGCAGCTGAGGGTCATGAGTATCATCTAAAGGGCAGTGAGGGGTCACTGCTAGGAGTGAGGTGATGACAATGATCTTTCAGGCAGGTGTCTCTGGTTTTTGACCTTTGACCTTCATTGTCATCACCATTCAGTGAGTACCTACCATGTTCCATGCACTTCCACATTCAAGGTAAGTGTTAACCCAGATTTATAGATGGAGGGACAATGTCTCTGAGAAGTTCAATAACTTGTCTAAAGTTACACAACTGGTAAATGGCTGAACTGGGATTTTATTGCAGGTTCACCTGACGCCACAGACTGTTCTCTGTACTGTTCTTCCCTGCCTTCAAAGAGACACTCAGTTTACAAGCTGTGCTCTGCAGGCATGCCCACATTAGCAGAGCAGATTGGAGGACAACGTGTGAGGGCGTCAGGTTTAGTGATAAGCCATATTCAGAGGCAGAAACCCTTTGGGGAGCCCAGGGACTGGGTCCTGATGTGGATCTGCTGCAGGACCATCCTAGGGTATGGCTCAGTCCAATTCCCACCATCTTTCTTGCTGAGAAGTAGAATCATATGTCCCAGGCCTCAGGGTAGCACCCTACCAAGTTTTCATAGCTCCCCAGTGCCCAGCCCAGGGGTGTCCTTTACTTTCCAAGATGCCTAAGAACCCCAGAAGTACCCTGTCCTTTGGCCATCCTGGGCTTAGCCTGCCTACCTGATACCTATACTTGAGACAGCATTATGGTTGGTCCCTCTCCTCCCTCTTTGCTGCCAGTGACCACTCCCCCCCCACACCCCCACCTGGAGGAGGCCTGAGACTAGTTCCTTTCTTGAAGCTGTGACCAAGAGTCCCAGGGTAGGCACCTAAGAGGTTTTTGTTGGAGAAGTGAAGACAAAGTTTGATTCTTAAAGATTTTACTGACCAA